TTAAGGATAATGGGGAAGTAGTGACTTGTTCTAAAGCACTGAGTACTTCATAGAAAACAGAAAGCACAACTGCACTGGCTATCAGAAGACAGGTCAAATCTGTAGTCAATAAGCTCCATGAATGTTTCTTAGATAACACTGCAATAGGATGCCCATTTAGCAGGGTTTTTGCATGACATCTAATCCGTGTATTGTCTGAATATCAACTCCACATTCATGCTCTTCTGCTGAGCCCCTAGGCAAACCCCTGTTTAAGAGTCTTTTCATAGTCAGACTTGAGGGGCTCTCCAGGTATAGCTCTAGCATCTTTGCCACTCCCCTATTGGAACACGCAGGCTGTTGGCTTCTTTAGTGAATGAGGTTTCTTTACTGCCTCACACAGATACTCAGTAATTTACTAAGAATTGTGTGGAAAGATAGTGAACTGAGCCACATGCTCCAATTATATTCTACCATCCAAAGAGCAAATAACATATGATTTCACTCATATGTAGAATTTAAGAAACAAAACAAATTGTCATAGGGTGAAAAAGAGGAGTCAAACCAAGAAACAGACTCTTAACTGATGGTTATTAGAGGGGAGGTGTGTGGTGGATGGGTTAAATGGGTCATGGGGATTAACGAGTGCACTTGTGATGAGCACTGGTAGTTTTATGTTAAGTGTTAAATCACTAAATTGTACACCTAAAACCAGTATTATACTGTATGTTAACTAACTGGAATTCAAATAAAAACTAAACAAAAACAAACAAACAACAACAACAACAACAAAAGCAAAGAGCTGAAGCAAATAAATGATACAGAGAGAGAATATAGCCCTGTGACAAAATTTCTGGAGGCTCTAGGGCTAGCAGTCCCCATTCTCATCTGTGTGATCTTGGGTCAATGTGAAATGATCCCTCAGTTTTCTTATCTATAAGGTGTGGATAACAATATCTACTTTGTACCACAAGTGATAGGATACATTCTAATGGGTGTACAGAGAAGAGCACATAATATGCACTTAATAACTGGTTTGTAACAAATTTGCCCACTAAACAAACAAAGTACTCAGGGCATTATGAAGCAAGAGCAGTCAGGATATGGAATTCAGAGAGGTCTGTGCATATGAACAGGGAAAAGACCTATGCCTTTATCTTCACTTACCTTTAACTTAATTTGAACATGTCCTTCAATTATTAACCTAGGCAAGAAACCACAATAATATGATTAGTACAATGTCAACAATAAAGATTTTCATATCACATTATATTTGTTTCACATTTCTCAAAGTATCCTTTATGCTCATCACTATTTTGAAATTATGATAGTTATGTTCCTTCTACTAAGGCCAGATGGCCTTGACCTGTTGTTCTTTATACATTAACCCACAACAGTGGTTCTCAAAGTCTGGTCCCTATACCAGCAGCATCAACATTCAGCACCAGCATTAGGTGGTTAATTGTCAGAAAAGAAACTATTGGGCCTCACCGTAGTTACACAGCTAGCAGTCAGCATTTCCATCTACGTCGGCTAACCCAGAAATAATCAAGTCTTTTTTTAGCCATGGCTGAGCAAATGCCTTTACCTAGAGAAAAAAATTTCCTTCATAAATTAGTTAATAGTTCCAAAGAGCTTTCCCTCCAGGTACTTCTACATGATTGAAATTTGAACATGTTTTCCAACTACACTTCCACAGGACACCTTCTTTCTTTTTAGGTGGTCTCTTTATAACAAAGGGGCAGGGTTAGGAGAGGGTGAGGGGAGCAGGGTCCAAACTGAAGGACCCAAAAAGACCCTCCTTAAGAGAGGCTGGGTCCGGGCACCTGGGTGGCTCAGTCGGTTAAGTGTCTGCCTTCAGCTTAGGTCATGATCCCAGAGTCCCAGGATTGAGCCCACATAGGGGAGTCTGCTTCTCCCTCTGACCCTCCCCCGTCTCATGCTCTCTCTCATTCTCTCTCTAATAAATAAATTAAATCTTTAAAAAAAGAGAGGGGGGGTGCCTGGGTGGCTCAGTCATTAAGCATCTGCCTTCTGCTCTGGTCATGATCTCAGGGTCCTGGGATCGAGCCCCACATTGGGCTCCCTGATCAGTGGGGAGCCCGCTTCTCCCTCTCCCACTGCCTGCCACTCCCCCTGCTTGTGCTCTCTCTGTCAAATAAATAAAATTTAAAAAAAAAAAAAAAGAGAGAGAGAGGCTGGGTCCCGGGGCACCTGAGTGGCTCAGGTGGTTTAGCATCCAACTCTTGATTTCAGCTCAGGTCATGATCTCAGGGTCATGAGAGCCAGCCTAACATTGGGCTCTGAACCCCACTTTGGGGTCCAAGCCCAGTGTGGAGCCCACTTAAGATTCTCTCTCCCTCTGCCCCTCCCCCCTTCTCTTCATGCTTCTCATGCTCTCTCTCAATACATGCATACATACATACATACATACATACATACATACATACATAAGAGGTTGGGTCCAGCAGGGTCCTGTCTGTATAGGGCTGCTGTATTCTGAGGGACACCCTCCAGATCCGGGGGATCAGAGAAGGCCTCCTGGAGGAGGGAACACTTGAGCTAGGTATAAAACAGGGGGAAATCAGGAGGGTGACCAGATCCTTGGAGATGGGTCCAGACCAAAGTCAACTCTGGGGATGGAATTGGGGCAGAACCTCTGGGGTTACTTCAGGGAATCCTGATGACCTGCCCCCTCTCCCTGTTGTATCCCTCAGGGCTATATTGTCAGGAAGTGGATTAGAATCACAAGGTTTGGTCTGGGTAGAACAGGCTAGTTTGTGGAGGCAATGACTGGCTGTTTTTCAGGTAAGGGTGGCATTGCTGGGACTTACAGGGCCACTAAGCTCTCTCCTTATCCCACTCCAGATTTCTGCCAAAGGAGGACACACAAAACAAAAGGTAATTCAGATGGAGGGAAGTGAGGGAGATAGGAGGGACTTCCTCTCAAGCCACCAGAGGCCTTCCCCTTCCCCTGTGCCACTCAACCACCTACCAGCAAGAGGACATGCCATTTCCTCTCTCTGACCCTGCCTTCCCTCAAAATCCTCCTGGGTATTCAATGGTGACTCCATTTCTGCTTCTTTCAACTACTGTCTCCTTGTATGTGTGCTCTTCCATACTCTGGAGCAATCTGTCTAAATCCCAAGTTAAAACCTCTAATATTACACAAAGCCAAGTTCCATGGTGTTGGAAAACCCTCCTATCCTTGCTATTATTATTACTTAACTAAAAGTCCTTTGGAAACTCCAGAGGAAGACAAATTAATCTGCCAAAAGGCACATTGGTTTAAATAGGTCATCCCAACTCCTGAGGCTCCTCTAATGAAAGCTTAGTCACATCCAGAGAAACTGAAAATTCTACCCTGAAAACAGTAAGCCTTCCCTCTCTGGTGTGAAGTTATGGTAGTTAAAGCCATGAGAGTAGCAATGGCCTTTCCATTCAGCCACATGGTCATTAGCTGACTTGGGGGTCAAGTATCTGTGAACTGGAAACCTCATTAGGATTTCTGCTAAGTTCATGGTAAGAACTGCTAACAGGTCAAACCAACCCTTTTCTTACTTAGGGAAACTGAATTGTAAAAATGATATGTAGCTTGCTTAAATTTACAAACACAACTAATAATGGTGGGAAAGTATAAGAGCATTGCTGTCTTGTCTCCCAGGCAAATGTTCCTGCAAACATTCATCTGAAGACTAACTCTCATTTCATTGTCTCAACCTATAGTCACTCTGGGCTACAGGACAGTTATGGTGGTTTTTCTCTCCAAGATCATGATAATCTGTGCTCACTCTGAAAATTCATATAGATTATTGAATCTCTTTGATGTCCTAAAATCGCTGACATTCATTTTGGGAAGGAACCTATGATACCACCCCTGAGCCTGAGAGAACTGAATCTTAATCCTAAGGTTTAGAAAGGAGGTGCCTGACTGTTCCAGAGAGATTAAATGTAACATTAAACATCTTCACTGATGAGCAGGAATATCCTTGGGATTGGACAGGAAGGGCAAGAAGCCCTAGAGATAGCAGCTTTCACAGGGCTTGTGGCCTTGGATGCTGTGTCTGTTAAAGAGAAGGAAAAATCTCCTGGGCTATGAATTCCTGGAGGACACAAATCATTTCATTCTGTATTTCTCACAGCACAATCTAGCACAGTAAGACAGTTGTGGGATCCATGTACACTTGTTGAGTGGGTGTTCCCATACATGAACTGTTTAGGAGGGATAATCTGGTGAACTGAGCAATAACTTTGAGAGAATTTGGAAAGACAGAAGTGTTCTCTCTTTCTCTACTGTAAGTACCAGGCATTGTGCTACAGGCAGATTTTAAGATGGGAACTGAGAAACAGATGTGAAACAGGTGCCACAAAGATCCTTTACATATACTATGATTTAGTGTTCATAACAGGTTAGGATTATTATCCCTACTTTTGTTTAACAGACGACACAGCTAAGGCTCAGGGAGGTTAGGTGTTTGATCTGAGCTCACACAGCTAGTGAGTGCCTGGGCTCTCCTATCTGAGTCTGAAGCCCTTACTAATGCTTCCTCTCACCACACTCCAGAATAATATTCTTCTCTCCATTTAACTCCCAGAGATCAGATTTTGATGGGTCCGAGGGATTTGTGCCAGAGAGTTGCCATCCTTGCAACCACCCAACCCCCACTCTAATGAATCTTTTATCCCCCCCCCCCCCCCCCCTGCGGAGTGCTGGCCTGGAGCCAGGTGAGACCAGAACCTCCATTTCAGGGGCTTTCTCTAGAATCTGTCGCTGTGGTTACCTCCAGTAGAATCTGTTTCAGGAAGGTCTGACCAAGCAGGACAGCGGTGACATTCATGACTGCAGGAGAGAAGAATCCGGGGCTGGGGGCCACACGTCGAGAGGGGAGGGGCCAGGGGGCGGCCCCCTTGTGACCAGCCCTGAGGAGAGGTCAGGAAAGAACGTTGGCTGAGGAGAGCCTGTACAGCAGCAGCTGCTGACGTTCTGTATCACGCGCCTGTGGCCCAAGGTAACCCAGACTTTTAAACAAACAGCGGGGCCGGGGGCGTTGCGGGGACGGAGGCGGGAAAGGGCAGGGACTTTGGGGGTCGCACACTGAAGACAGGGGCGGTGAACGCGTGGAGGGCATGAGAAGGAGTCCAAACTCTCTGAGAAATAGGGAATGAAGGAAATACTGAAGCAAGAAACGAAGTGTGAGAAGGAACACAAGCGCGAAAAAAGCGTGAGAGGGCGCAAGAGCTTGGCTGACCAAAAGTGCGCTTGGAGGTAGGGACAAGGGTGGAACACACCCAGCCCCAGCAGCATAGGTACGGTGGGAGCAGGAGGATACTATCTTTCCCTGAGCCCATTTTCCATAGGTGGTCCCCTTTTAGCCATTTTTAAGGTAAAATGTTGGCCCCGGTTATTTTTGCTTGTTTGTTTTGGGGTTTTGTTTTGTGTGTTTTTTGTTGTTGTTGTTGTTTTTTAGAATATAAGGAAAGAAACGTCAGAGGAAGCTGTACTAAAGCGAGGCTGCGCAAGGCGCAGGAAAGGCAGAGGGTGGCGCCTTTTTTAAAGAAGATTCTATCTTCACCCTAAAGCTCAGGCCGTACCACACACACACACACACCCCACGTTTTCCTCCCTCTGTCTGCCTCCTATTTCCCCACCCCAGCCCCGCTCCGGGCACGAACGGATCGCCTTTAAACCAGGTAACCGCCTTGGTCTCCACAGCAGCTCCGGGAGCTCCAGAGTGGAGGGGGTGGAGCCCGCAGCGGCCTCTGGCTGAGCTCAAGGTGGGAGGGGTCCCGGGGGCGCTAATGGCGCACCGCGGCCATGACGCTGGCCAGATCATTCACAAAAATCCCTGTCTCATTCCATCTACAGTCGCAGCTCCATTCCAGACGCCCTTCTTCTCAGGCCGGGCGGTGAGCTGATGGCCCAAGTTCGGGACTCGCCCTCCGGCTCTTTGGTCCGCTGGAGCTCGGGAGGTGGGGGAGGAGCCTCTCCCGAGGAGGCGGCTGAAAAGGCGGGGAAAATGGAGAAGGAGGCGGTGGGGGCGACAAAGGCATGTTCAGGCCAGGGAGCTGAGGAGATGAAGCTGGAGCCGTTACAAGAGCGAAAGCCTGCTCCTGAGAACTTGACGTGGAGTGACAGCGGCGACGATAAGAAGGTGCTCCCTTCAACCCCCCCTCGCTGTTACAGCAGCTCCTCGCCCCTTTGCCCGCGCCGCAAGCCCCGCCCTCGGCCCCAGCCCCGGGCCCGCTCCCGAGGCCCGCCCGGCCTCTTGGCCCCACCCCAGCCTCCATCCCATCCTCCCCCTCCGCCTCTGACCAGACCACAGCCCTGGCGCCGACTACGGCGTAGATCCAGGCCAGGGTCTAGGCCCCAGATGCTGCAAAGCTGTTTTAGTGACCTAGGTGGCTCTGGGGATCGAGGTGGCTTAGGGGACTGGTTGCTGGAGGTGGAGTTTGATCAGGGTCCTACAGGCTGCTCTCATGTGGAGAGCTTTAAAGTGGCTAAGAACTGGCAGAAGAACCTGAGGTTGATTTACCAGCGTTTCATATGGAGTGGGACCCCAGAAACTAGGAAACATAAGGCAAAGTCGTGCATCTGTCATGTATGTAGTACCCATATGAACAGACTCCACTCTTGTCTCTCCTGTGTCTTTTTTGGCTGCTTTACTGAGAAACATATTCACAAACATGCAGAAACAAAACAGCACAATTTAGCTGTAGACCTCTATCATGGGGTTATATATTGCTTTATGTGTAAGGATTATGTATATGACAAAGACATGGAACGAATTGCCAAAGAAACAAAAGAGAAAAATTTGAAATTACTAACTTCCACCTCAACAGATGTTTCTCAACAGCAGTGTATGGCATCAGGTGTTGAAGAGAAGCATTCAACCTGTGAGTCAAAGGAACAGGAGCCAAAATTGGTGAAACCCAAGAAAAAGAGGAGAAAAAAGTCAGTCTATACCATAGGCCTGAGAGGGCTTATCAATCTTGGGAACACATGCTTTATGAATTGTATTGTCCAGGCACTTACCCATATTCCTCTATTGAAAGATTTCTTTCTCTCTGACAAGCATAAATGTATAATGACAAGCCCCAGCTTGTGTCTTGTCTGTGAAATGTCTTCTCTTTTTCATGCTATGTACTCTGGGAGCCGAACTCCTCACATTCCCTATAAGTTATTGCATCTAATATGGATTCATGCAGAACACTTAGCAGGGTACCGGCAGCAGGATGCCCATGAGTTCCTCATTGCAATATTAGATGTGCTGCATAGACACAGCAAAGATGATAGTGTTGGGCAGGAGGCCAGTAACCCCAACTGCTGTAACTGCATCATAGACCAAATCTTTACAGGTGGCTTGCAGTCAGATGTCACATGTCAAGCTTGCCATAGTGTCTCTACCACAATAGACCCATGCTGGGACATCAGTTTGGACTTGCCTGGCTCTTGTGCCACATTCGGTTCCCAGAGTCCAGAGAGAGCTGACAGCACAGTGAGTAGGGATGACCACATACCAGGAATTCCCTCACTCACAGACTGCCTACAGTGGTTTACAAGGCCAGAGTACCTAGGAAGCAGTTCCAAAATCAAATGTAGTAGTTGCCAAAGCTATCAGGAATCTACCAAACAACTCACAATGAAGAAATTACCTATTGTGGCCTGTTTTCATCTCAAGCGATTTGAACATGTAGGTAAACAGAGGCGAAAGATTAATACTTTTATCTCCTTTCCCTTGGAGCTGGACATGACTCCATTTTTGGCCTCCACTAAGGAGAGCAGAATGAAAGAAGTCCAGCCACCAACAGACTGTACATCCAACGAGAATAAGTATTCCTTGTTTGCAGTGATTAATCACCATGGAACTTTGGAAAGTGGACACTACACCAGCTTTATCCGACAACAAAAAGACCAATGGTTTAGCTGTGATGATGCCATCATCACCAAGGCTACCATTGAGGACTTACTCTACAGTGAAGGGTATTTACTGTTCTATCACAAGCAGGGTCTAGAGAAAGATTAGTCTTGTAAGACCACTTACCAGAAAAAAAGTGAAAGAAATGAATATACAAGGATCCTGAAGTGACACACAAACTTCCCTGGAATGGATGATGATAATAGCCAAACAACAACAAGCACCTCTTGAAATTTCACAAAAACCTACCTGGCATGGACAATGACAATAGCACCTATATGACAGGTAGCACCTTGATATGAAGAACTTTTTTACATGGCTTGTGGGTCTGTAAGAGGAAAAAAAATACTAACTAGTGACCATTTAGCCTTAAGAAAGGGGAGGAGGGAGAAGAGGTTAAAAATGGTCACATAAAGCATAATTAAATGAACAGAATGCTTTAGGTGGAAAGAGTGGGAATGGAGATGTTCTGCGAGTGCTATATGTCATTTGTTTCTACAAAAATACCATGGGGAATCAGGGAGTATTTCTACATTAACAAAAAACTTCACAATTAGTGTTCTAGCTGTGGCTGATTAGTCAAATATTTTGAAAAAAGAATATTGTAAAAGAGATTTTAAAAAGCCTTAAAAGAAAACATTTAAAAAGGAAAAAACCTTTTTTTAAATTTTAAAATAAAATGTTTTAAATGTTGAAAAAAATTAAGTTAAATATTTTTAAAAGAAATGTTTCAAAATTTAAAAGTTTTTAATTTAAAATTTCAAAATGATTAATAAAATAAGGCTTAAAATAAATTTTAGAAATTCTTAGTTTACAAAAGGTAAAATGAATAAAAGAAGGACAAAGATAAAAAATGAAAGTTTACAAAAAAGTTAAAGTGAAAGAAAGTTTTAAAAGGGGAGGGGAGCTCTTAAAAGTTTAAATAAGGGGCGCCTGGGTGGCTCAGTCGTTAAGCGTCTGCCTTCGGCTCAGGTCATGATTCCAGGGTCCTAGGATCGAGTCCCGCATCAGGCTCCCTGCTCGGCCGGGAGCCTGCTTCTCCCTCTCCCACTCCCCCTGCTTGTGTTCCCTCTCTCGCTGTGTCTCCCTCTGTCAAATAAATAAACTCTTTAAAAAAAAAGTTTAAATAAAATGTTAATATAAATAACTCTTTAAATTAGACTATAAAATAATGTATTGAAAAATGAGAGGTTAGCAAAATTCATGAACAGTTTAAGAAAATTTCCAAAACTACAGAATGGAATGAAAATTCAAATTTAAGTTTACAGAAAAGTTTTAAAGGAAAAAAAAACTAGCACAATTGAAGACAGACACAATTTGTTTAATTTTTTTAATTTAAAAAAAATTTAAAAAGGAAAAATTAAGAGAAAAATAGAGAATTTTAAGATATATAAAAACTTTAAGGAAGTCCAACTTGAGAGATTTAAATAAAAACTAAATATTTAAACAAGAAGGATAAAAATAAAAATTTTTAAAGAAAAACATTTAAATAAAAATCAAATTTAAATTAAAAACAAGTAGAAAAAATATTAATATTTTAAAAACTTAAACAGTTTTATTTTTAAATTTAAGCATATTAAAATTCTCACAGGTATGAAAACTAAAAGGAGATAGGAATAACAAGACAAAAAAGTCTTGTTAATATTTCTGTTTGAGTTCTATGTTGATACATAAATAGAATTTGAAAAAAAAATAGTCAACCATCATTTTACTACTCAATTGTGAGATCAGTGCAAGGCCTGAACTCTAGCCTACCTTCCCTTTTCAAGTTCCACACCCCATCTGATTTCCTAAAGAGCTGTTTCTTAGGAAGAATCAACTGCATCCGAGAAAGATGAAAATAGTAGGGACTCTCTCCCATTTAGAACTGCATTATTCATACAAATTCTTTGCTACTGAAAAGCGGTTCTTGACAATTTAGTGGCTTAGGGATATTAGATTACAACTTAAGTTCTGGCTTTGATGTTCAAGCCCCATGGCCTGATTGAGGAAGTGGCAGGGACCCATATCTGAGGACATCCCACCCTCTCTTCCACTTCCCTCTCCATGGGGAAACAAGACCTTTATATAGTAAAGCTATGGGTTTGTGCTTGACAGTCTTACTCATTCCTTTACTCCCTCTCTTTTTTCCTTATTCCATCATTCATGCCTGGTTCCCTGAACCGCTTACTTACCTCCATCTCTGATCCCAGCCTATAGAGCTCCTTCTTTGACTGTTTACCTGGTAGCTTCTATTCCTCCTTCAAGACCCAACTCACAGATGACCTCTGGAGCCTTTTCTGAATGCTCTAGGCAGGTATAAATTGGAAAATTGTTTCTTCCTCATGCCTATATCCCTGTCACTGTGCCTCAAAGTACTTTGTCTGTACCTCAGTAATATTCTACTGTGATTCTACTGGAGCTTTGTGAGTGTCTGCCCCTCTGCACCAAGCATTCTGAGAACAGGGGGCCAAGCCTTATTCATTTCTGTGTTAATAAATGTTTGTTGAATGTGAGGATGAGTTCAGTTATTTGCTCTGTTAATATGATCTCACTTATTTTATCAATCAAGCCCTCAATAGGTGTCCTGTGCTATAATACAGTGTGATCAGGGTTGTATCTTCCCTAAAGGAAGTGTATGAAATGCTACTCAGCTGCAGGGGATGGCTTAAGAAGGGAGGTGCTCAGTGAGGAAATAGCCAGGTTGTGTGGAGAGAGTACAAGGTACAACGCAAGGAAAAGAGCAAAGCGTGAGAGTTGGTAGTCATGAAAGACTGGGTGGTGAGGGGGAGCAGAAGCTGAAGATGAGGCTGGGCTTTCTGGTATGTGTGCAGCAACACTGTTCCTCACCAGTGTCCCTGAGCTCCCCACAGTGTCTCTCATCTTATGACTGTGTACCACACCTCCCCATGGTGTACTGTACTAGTTTGCCTTCCCAGGAGACTGTGTACCTCACCATTCCACACTCTTTTATATCATATGGCACACCATAACTGACAGGAGAGTGATGTCTGGTGACTGTATTTAGTGGGGGAACTGTAGTTGCCTGCTTAGCACTCTAGCCCTTCCCCTATTCCTTGTGGTTCTGCTGGGGCTATTGACCACCTTGCAGTGCTCCTCTCACTTCTCCCCAGAGTAAGCATGTCCCACAGGCTAGGCCAGATAAGAGTTCTCAATTCTTCCACTCCTTCATCCACACCCATCCCACAAGAGCAATTCTGAGGATGGCTATAGGACCCAAGCAGGCCCAGTCAGAGTCCATTGCTAGACTGAATATATGTAGACAGTGGGAGAAAGAAGTGTCTTGCTCCCCCTCCATGCTGAAGTCTCTAGACTAGGATGACATTAATCTGAGAATCTTAGGGGGTTGATGTTCTTACCATGAGGAGAAAAGTAGAATTAGAGATAGGGAGAAAGAGCCTGGAGAACATCATTTGAAACTTATGGATCCAGATGTGCCTGAAGTCCCAAAGTTCCTAGCTATCTGAGCCAATAAAGTCCTTTGTTTTCCTTAAGCTAGTTTGAGTTGGGATCCTATCACTTGTAGCCAAGTGTTTTGAACACATTAGATATGCTATATTGTTAGTTGGGGGCATCCGGTTCCTAGGGCCACAAATGGAGAGAAGGAAGAAGGAAGAAAATGGTGACTTTCAATGAACTCTGTCATAGAAGATTGAGAAACCAGAGTGGGTACCTGCATGTCTTTAGCTCAGCTACTGACCTGTGCTAGGCTTCAAACCTTACTCACAGCAATGATGTGGCTATTCCCAATTAAAGAGAGAATAAGGCAATCATGTTTCATGAGTACCATGAATAGGTAGGCCAGGCACTATGGTGACTGCTTTACCTCTATTATCTCACTGAATTGGTGCAGCAATCCTGGAAGACAATCATTCCTGAACATATTTCGCAGATTGGGAAAGTGAGACTCAGAAGGGAAAAGTGGTTTGTTTAAGTTCACTTTACTGTTTTAAGCAGTGGGGCCAGTATTCAAACCCAGGTCCTCAAAGCTTGTGCATATTCCATTATAATTCAGTACAGGTAATTCAAAGATTTTTTTTGTTTTGCTTTTCCTGATGTTGCTATGGAAGACACAATAGACCAAAATGGCGCAGAAGGCAGACAGCCTTTGACAAACCTGGATGCAGATAACCTGGAACTTGGAGAGTAATCTATCAACTGATAACACAAAATTACCCATGCTCCAGGTGAATATGTCTCTATGGCAATAGCTGGTTAGGATAGTCACATCAGGCTAAATGACTTTCTTAAGGATACCTAGAATGGATGAGGCCAAAATCCTACTCCATTACCAGACATATAGCTTCACTCAATGCCATATGCTTGCCTTTTTACAGTCTGTGAAACCATCAGCTCTCTCTAGTTACACTAGGTTTCCTTTCTAGCTTCAATACTGTGACCAATACTTTGTTAATCACCTTCACCACTGACCTTCCCCTGGTCTTTCCAGAGTGCCCACAATGCCAGCTCCTCAACCATAGATCCTTCCCACCTGCCTGTTACAGAGGGACTTGCCTATTAGGATCTATTTCCTAGGTGATCTGATACTGACTTGCAATGTCCAATTCTGTTGTTTCTACACTATTTTCAGTTCCTTATCTTTATTACTTCCAAACATACAATTATATCTACTCTGGGCCAGGGCTGGAACTATGTGTCTATAAACCCCTCAGGCCAATCACACTATATGGTAGGTTTTTAATAGGCTAGCTGAATGAATGCATGAATGAATAAACAAAATGAATTCCATCCTACACTCAGCTTTAGTAGTTAACTTCCTATCTTATTTTTTCTGAAGTCAAAATACTTGTAAGAGTGCCTCATTTACATATACCACCCACATCAACACATTTCTATCTCCATCTATCCTCCACACCTTCACTCTACTTTTAGAGAAGGAATCCTGCTTTCTTTTGGATGCTGTACCACTAGCCTTCTCTGACCCATTCCTGACAGCCAAGAGGCCTTACTCCCACACTTTCCCCAGTATTCCAGCAACTGCCATGTTTTCTCTAGACATAATATTCAGCAACTAGATATCCTAGGTTTTCTACAACGGTTCTTCAAAAACTTTCCCCATCATTCCTATAAGATATAAGGAGTGTTCCTCAATTCCCTATGCTTCCTCCTAGAGTGTATATTGTCACCAGAAGAGACCAGTCTGTTGTAAGGTCCTGACTTGGGGTTCATGTTTAAAACAAAAATTCATAACCTTCATATGATACTGCTGTCTGTGGTATTATTTCTGTCCTTCCTTTCAATGTCAAGCTCTTCTACATGTGTTTATCTTACATCATTCCCACTTACCTCCTACATCACTTTTAGTTCCCCACATAGCTTCTGCCTATATGACTCTATTAAAACTACTCTTGGTTAAGTACAAAGTGACTTATTTTTACAAAGTTCTTTATTTTGCTATTTTATCCCATTTGTTAAAGGGATATATGATAATTAAAGACAGTGGAACAACAAACACAGAATATTTGATGTTAAAACTTTCCTTGCAAATCCAGGTCATGATTTTGTCATGTTGGCGACCACTCAGGGTAAGTTCCCTTTTTCTTACACCAGGAGGGTATAGCAAATCTGAAAAAGGGACTCAGGCTAGGGGTGGAGCCAGTGAAACTGAGGTAGAGAAAATGCAATTTTAGAAAACTGTATTGTATTTTAAATGTACCAGAGGAGTTGGTGTTTTTAAGGACAGGTGTAAAGAATCCTTTTTGTGTGCCTTGTTAAGAATCTAATCGTGCCCTAATTGATCTGTTTTTAGAATGGTATACTTAAAAAGAGACATACTTGTAGTTTACTTGCAAACATCATTTAAAGCTTTTTTTTCATGCCATACCTCTGATACAGAATTAAACTGACTGACCTGCAATTTCCATTTCTCTGTGATGGGGGAGGTATGATGAGGTAGGCCTAGGCATGAGGAGAAAATAACTTTGGGACCAGACAGACTTAAACTGAAATCACATCCCAGATCTACCACTTACTAACAGGTAACAGTGAGCCAGTAACAGAACCTTGTACTCAGCCCTCTGTTGGGAGGCCTAAATGTAACATTGTTATAAGGCATTTAGTACAAAGCAGGGCACACAGTTGGATAAAAATATTTTTTTGCCCCACTTTTCAGTGTCCAAATAGTCCCTTTGTCCCTAAGGTATTTTTAGAAAAGGATAAATGCTATCTCTCTGGAAGTCCATTTTCACACATATAACAAAGACATCACCTAAGTAGACTTCTTTATATAAATCCTCCTCGGCCAGATCTCTCCTTACATCACTGAGTTTTTCTTCTGTGCTATAGTCACCCCAAAGGGGTCTGTCTTATTGTCAGCTCTACTTGACAAAGGAATATGAGAATTCGGATGTCTTTCCCAAAATCACATAGGAATTAAGAAGGAGAACTGGGACACAGGGTACTGAGTCTAGGCCCCTAACCATCAAGTTTTGCTGCAACCCAGGAACTAATTTGATTCCTCTACTTATACTGGAATAACAGCCAGGTAATACTCTGAATCCATGAAATTTATAGACTTCTAGAATCTGATAGTTGGGAGGATCCCTAAAGTACCTTTAGCTATCAGGTTTCTCACTGTTTTAAGGATACACTGGCTTGGAGAGAGATGGAATGACTTGCTCAAGGTCATACAGGGGATTGGTGGCAGAACCAGGAGCAGAACTGAGGTCCTGGAATTTTCTTATTGCATACCAGGCCTTCTGACTGCCAAGTTTCTCTGTAAATATTCTATCTCCATTGCCTATCCCATCTCAGAATCTACATTCTCCTATGCTGGGTTAGGTCCCTAAAGACAACAGTGCCCAGAGAGATCAGTAAATAGGTGACTCTAGCTGTTGCCAACAGAATTGTTTTCAAAGACAAAAGTGTAACAAGGGCACTGGAAACCTGTCCATAATTCTGGTCTCAGGGAGGCAGCAGGCAGCAGAGAAATTGTGACTGGACCTGGCAATGAGTGGAGGTATATGGTTGGTATTGGGTGAATGACCTGATATACAGGGCAACATCCAGTCCTGATAGGTTGATGGAACAGGGGAAGTTGAGTAATTCTTAATAAATGCCTTATTTGCGATATGAGAAATCTGTTAATTTACCTGTTTTGGGGGTCTTGATTCTTTATCCATAATGAAATACAGCTTTTGGGGAAGATGCTTGTCTTACAGGGCTCTTCTTATGCTAGTAATCTGGAGAAACCCTCCAGCTCATCCCCACACTGCAGACCCAGGCCTTCAAAGAATGATATTTAGCCCCAAAGCCTTGGATCACCCCCATCATTGAAGAATTTCATCAGTGCCTGGATCAAACAAGCAAATTTATTTGTGGAAGAGGCACAGTTTGCTGAAAAGTATGAGAAAAAAAGCCTCTCAAATGCAGCCGAAGTCTCACCTATATGTTTACCTGCTCCCCTGTTACCAACACTTCCTGCCTCATAATATAGGGCATATTATGACTGCCTGGGAGTCCAAAGAGGTGTTCTTATGCAAATTATACATAATCTTTGACTCACTTTGCCCAAGTAAGAAAAGAGGTGGTTTGTTTGGATTGTCCCCAAAGTTCCTTATAAGTTTTAAAACACTATGAGCTATTAGCAGTTCTTAACTATAAACTCATGGCAACTTGGCAAGAATTCTAAGAAAAAATAAAATATGGCATAATAATTATTTAAAAATAAAAATTGTCTTATATTTTAATGACTGCAT